TGATAATTTAATCTGCTAAGGGACAAAGCCCTCCTCTATGGCATTTGTTGCTCTCGCCTCACCAAGCTTTCAACACCTTATTTGTCTCTATATGGCAAGCATTTCTTTTGTGTAATCACCAAATTCTGAAAAGTGCCGGTTTCAAGGGCAAGTATACTCCCCTCTCTGTGTATGTAAATTGAAGAATGTTGGGGTCAGGTTCAGACCGTGGCTTGGTTTTGAGTTTGTGATTTGAATCCGAGTTAAATTTTTCCATATTCCCAAAGAATGCACAACACAAAGCAATTGGTAACAACGCGAAATACAACAGCAGTTTAAGAAAGCTTTCGATTAAAAAAAATAGATAAACAAATATATTTGCCCAAATAAGTAAGAATATTTTAGCCTAAGGGTGGGAAGGCCGTGATGCAGTGTTGGGAGAGAGTGATTGACAACGAAGGATTTCATTATTCTATCAATTACAGAACATTTCATTCTCATCACCCATTTTTCTGTGCAGCTCAGAGGATTTAAAACTGAGCCAGAGCAAAGGTGGGGAGATGGTTTCCTTGGCTGTCCATGGTATTTTCAGGAGTCTGAAGTCCAAGTTCAAAGTTTAAAGGCATCAATAATCTTTCCATCCCCTTTAACAAAGTCCAATTTTGGCGTTACCAGAGTGGGAAATATACTACCAAGCATCGAGCTTAACTTGGCTAAAAGATTGGATGGATTTGAAAAATACTAAAGTTTTAACAATAGAAGGACATGACTTGCAAGCAGGGTGGCATGCATTCCTATGGAATGAAAAACATAAAATACACAGATATTTTCAAAGACACATAGTTAGGAATGCATCGCTACAGATTTGGGAAAAAATAAAACAAAAACATTATATAAGAATTCTAATGTGGTTATCCCCAACAGAAGCTCTGAAATACCCAAACCTATTGGACATAAATAAGATAATTAGATGCAAGGAATTAGTAAATGAACAGGGAAATTTGAAAACAAAACAAGAATTGGAACAAGACAATGGCAGAGAGATTGATTGGTGGACATTTACACAAATTCAATCTAAATATACAGAGGACAAAAAATTATATGAAATCCGAAAACAGCTGCAAGAATTGGATAAAATTATACATGGAACAGAAATAAAATTAATTAGCAATTTATACAAATACCTATTGAGATATAAAATGGAAGATGAGGTTGTCAAAGACACAATGATTAGATGGGCAAAAAATTTCAGATATAATATAGAATTGGAGAAATGGGAAAAAATATGGGAAATAAATATAAAATTGACTATGTCGGCGGCATTCAAGGAAAACCAGTTGAAGATGTTTTACAGATGGCATCTTCCACCAGCAAAGCTTGCCAAGATGTTCCAGAATAATTCGCCAACATGCTGGAAATGTAAAAAAGTACATGGAACATATTATTATCTATGGTGGACATGCCCAGTTGCAAAAAAAATACTGGTCTACAATAAGAAAATGGATCCAAGAAATAATAGACCAACCCGTAGACTGGAAACCAGAGATCTTTTTGTTGGGTAGAAAATATAGTAAAGAAATAGAAAATATAGTAAAGAAATATGGTATTTAATTTTACATATAATAACGGCGGCAAGAATAGCATATGCACAGTGCTGGAAAAATGAGAATATATCATCAGAGGAAGAAGTAATAAGAAAAATCCTGGACTGTGCTGAGATGGACAAATTAACAAAAGAGATAAAAGAAAAGGAAGACACAGAGTATTATATAGTATGGAACAAGTTATACAGTATGTCTGGTTGGAGACTAGAAATAATAGAGGAGAATAAATATGGAAAGGTCAAAAGTGAAAATATGTGTATAATAATGTATAATAATAATAATATAAATTATTCTTAGTAAGAAGTAGAACATGAAGGAAGAAAAATGTAAATAAGAAATAACGGGGCTATAAGGACAAATATTCTAAAGAAGAATAAAGGGGAAATGTAAATAATAGATTACCGTTACGTAATTGCTGTAAAAAAAAAAGGAGGAGTATATACCGTAAATGCTGGCGTATAAGGCGACTTCCGCGAGCGCTGAAATTGGCGCCAAAGACGGGGGTCGTCTTATACGCTGAGTCGTCTTATACACCAGAAATACTGGTAGTTTCCGGCGTATAAGACGACGTTCTAGGAATGCGGCCCGGCTATAAAGACGGGGGACGTCTTATACGCTGGGTCGCCTTGTACGCCAGCATTTACGGTATTGTGTGTGTATGTGTGTTATGTTTTGCTTTGTTTTGTTTTGTCTTGTTGGTTAAAAATAAAAATTAAAAAAAAAAGAAAAAACAAAGTCCAATTTTGGTTTCCATAGAGACTCATGGGGAATACCATCGCTTGCACGATTCTTTTTTTTAAAAAAATATATTTTATTGGTTTTATTGTTTTAACAAAAAGTGTTTAAGACACACCGTGGTATTTGGGTAAACAAAGATTCCAACATAAAATCACACAATAACAGCTCAATACATTCACTATCATCTCTCTATTTCCCTCAAGTAACATAGTAAATTTAATATATTTCATTTCTATCCTAAATTTCTATTACTACTAAACCTGTTTATTAAAACTTTAAATCAATTTCAATTACCATAATCAGATAGTGTTTTACATCAACATATTATCACTTCAAATACCTCTTGCAAATATATTCAAGTTCTTAATCCCTCTCATCCCTTTTTTATCATCAATCTTATTATTTCTTCTTCCAATAATAACTAGTTTAATTAAAAAACAATATTATGATATCTTATCAAATCATATTATTATACACAAACATCTCTTAAGTAATTAAACATTACACATGTATATAGTTATAGTTTTCTTACTTCTAAATCTAAATCATTATCCTTAACCTTTCAGCCAATAAGTCCATTTTTGTTACTTATAGTAGTCTTTGACTTAATTCATTTCCATTCATTAAAGAAACCAAATTCCATCCAATTAATTATCACACCATATCAAGACATATTATTATACACAAAAATCTCCTAATTAATTAAGCATTTCAAAATTCCAGTCTAAATCAATCTATTATTCCAAGAAATGCATTCTTAGTCTCTATAAAGTCAAGTTTCTTTTTTCACTCCACATTTAACTTTCATATTTCCATATCAAATTTCCATAAAACAAAAAAGTCATGAAACTAAATTAAAGACACATAAATATAATTGTAGATTTCTTACTTCTAAATCTAAATCATTATCCTTAAAACAATCCATAGAACCAACAATGCCTTTTAATCCATTAAACAGTTTTTACTAATTTAAATACGCATGTATATAATTGCATTTTTCTGTTCAACATTATCCTTAAAACAATCCATGAAGTCAACATTGCCTTTTACTCCATTGAATACCATCGCTTGTACGATTCTGAGATTGCACGATTCAAGTTTGTTCATGCTACTTTATGTCTCAAGATCTGCTTTTCTGGGAAACATCAACTTGTAATTCAGATGGAATGAATTTTGGAAGCCTAACAAGTGAAGGGAAAGTTGCAGGCTGAGTGATGCAGGGAGATCTCAAAAGGAGAATTAAGGAAGGGAGGTGAGAAGTATCTAGAGATAGTTTTACTTCTGGTGGAATCTGGAGACCTTCTCATGCCATTCAACACAAGTTCAGAGAAATCCTTATTTCTTCCCACTCTTTTCCCCCTAAGTTTGTCTCAAATGAACTTCAGATCCAAATATTTGAAGAGAACCATTTGCTGATTGCTGTTGACAAGCTTAATTCGTGAAGACTACACAACCAGATGTTGACCTATGTTCTGGCTTTCAGATACAGAACATCTCTGCACAATTTCATTATTAATTTTTGAATTCTGGCTGCATATGCATGCATACACACGTTGCGATGTATCTAGTATCGATTTAAAAGGCTTGCCACTGCACTGAACATAACTGGCAATTTGCAGATAATAATCCCTGCCCTGGAAAATATGCCATTCCTCCTTTCCTAACATAAAATTAGAAGAAACAAGAAATATGGCTACAGGTTTATCCTATAGTTGAAAGATGCTGTTTTCCCTATGTCAGGGACTGAGGTATATAGAAGAGAGTTTTAGTTCACAATTTTATCTTCCAGAGATTCAGTTTATCACCAGAAATGCCCAAAGATTTATTTCAACTTTCACTAAGAAGTGATTCAGTTTAAAGGAATGTGGCCTTAGAAAGACTAATTGAGAAAAACCTTTGAGACCTGCAAGCAGAAATATTTATAGTTTTACTGAGCAGACTCAAAACATTTTCCTTGCATAGTATCTGTTGTACCAATATGGTTGTGCTTCTATTTTCTCTTTTTCTGATTCCCAGTTCAGCTACAACAATGATGGAAGGACCATCCATGGCCCACTTGTAGCTGTCCCTGCACCATTGAAATCCCTGTGCTGAAATGGAGAAATTTCATCAATGACCCATCAAAAAATGCATACATGATGAGATCCATAATCTCATATCATGATAAGAAGCTTCCTGGGGAAATGGGTAGAGTTGTGCAAAGTTAAGTGGAGCTATTTAAAGAGAAAGATTTGAGATACTGGGGAAATCAGTTCAATAGATTTGCCTTTCCCTGTAAGTGCCTTCCATCCAAGAAATAGTTGGATCTAGCCTTGTGGAACAGAAGAAGGCAAAGCTAAAAACAGTAGAAATGGTAAAGTGTCAGTACCATGGACAGTTCACAAGGGATGATAGTAGATATTAAGGACAATAAGCAGATCCTTGAACGGTTATTCTTATTAAGGTCAAACATCTATTCTCCCTGAAAGATTGTGGCTCATGATTATGACATTGTCGAATCCTCACAACCACAGGGAGGGATTTTCTCCATGACCATCTACTACTAATTTGTGCTTCAAGGTTTCCCAATGGGACACTCCTCACTGCTGTAACTGTCCACCTGGCTGTTCATTATTACTTTCTTTAATACTTTATTTTCTTTTTCTTTCTTTCGTTGTTTTCACCTGGTTGTTCCTACAGCACTACGGAGTCGATCAGGACGTGCCATTATCAACGGGAATTGGGCAATTGATCGACCTGGGAGATACGAGGGAGGAGGAACGATATTCATCTATAAACGGCCCAACGAGATCTCAAGTACTGCTGGGGAATCCTTTTTAGCAGAGGGCCCAACCAATGAAATCTTGGATGTCTATGTAAGAACCGAAGATTTCAGATAATTATATCATTTCTTTATTGAACCAGAGGAACCACCCTTAACCATTAGAAGTTGGGAAGTCATTTACTCCCAGATAAAATAGTTTTTTAAGTTAATTTTCCATCTGGATAGGTTGAGAAGGAACTCAGAGACCTGGGTCGGCAGGTGTGCATGTTTATTTATTTATAACATTGTCTCTGATGGGTAAATTTATTTTTTTTAATTTTATTTTAGTTATTAAACTTACATGCTGAACATCTCTGAACTTGAGAGGGGACAGAAAAATGTGGAGATGAACAAAGCCACTTCTTTTTATGGACTTAATGTCCCTAAGAACATTGAATGACCGTTTTGCTTAACAACCAGGTGTCCAGTCCCAACTGTGGTTGCTAAACAAGGTTTACCTGTAGTTTAAGTCTTTCTGTGGAGTGGGTTTCCTGATCTGTTCCAGCTGGTGGGATAAACTGGGTTTGTGCATCAGAGTCAACTCAATGAACTCAAAGGTTCTTCTTCCTTCCATAGATGATTCATCAACAGCCCAATCCAGGTATACATTATGAGTACATTATTCCAGGTCCCAACACCATCAGTTCTCAGGTGCCTCTTCACAGACGGCCAGGTAAGAATGCAGTGATTTCCTCAACCAATCTGATGACTTTCTCTTGATTGGCAGGGACTTCTTAAACAAGGCATTTTTCCATCCTTTCAATGGCAGGAAATGGTTCTCTCCGATGCATCCAGTAAAACTATCATTGAAAGCAAAGCATCACATTTGTCCCAAAGAGGCTACTTCAAAAGGCATCTGGACTTTGTTTTTTCCTTGAAGACGTTTCACTCCTCATCCAAGAAGTTTCTTCACAACTGGATGAGAAACGAAATGTCTTCAAGGAAAAACGAAGAAAGTCCAGCTGCCTTTTGAAAAATCCCCTTTTGGGACCTGGATGACGGAGAATCTCCATAGATATCACATCGTTGCTTTTAGGGTACCCCAAACTTGATAGCTTTATCAAAAGATTATTTGAGAAGCTCATCTACCTGCTCAAATTACCAGGTTTGGTTTCTTTAGCTTTTCAAAGATTATTTGTTTGTTTGTTTCACCTTCACTCCTTTAGGGAATTAAATGCTTCTGAAAGGTTATTATGTGGTCTTTCTGGACATTTCTGCACACTTCTCTACATGCAAAAGGAAGGGTATTTTTATAGATAAAACAGATTTTATTCATGGAAAATAAGGGGGGGGAATAGAATGAGGGGAAAAGCCTATTTTTTTTATTCTACCCAAAGTCTCAGGGTATTTTCATAAAATACCTCTTCACCAAATTTTTGGGGAGAATAAAGAATGCATTTTTTTCCCTCGCACCAATTTTTCTCCCCTTAATTTCCAGCTATTTAGCTTGGCCCGTTTCCCATTGTTGCTTCAGTTTTATTCACACCTGGATGCTTTAACTGAATGCTCTGTGCTATTGCAAGATTGGTCGAAGAACAAACGTTCAACATTGCAGCCTGGTTGACAAATAGGATATCTTTTTCTAAACAGTTCACGGCCTTTGCGTCTTTCAAACCACCCTGGTGCTTTGGGGTTCACTGCTACAAGAAACCTCTGAACTTATGTAGTCACCCCAAGTCCTCAAGGCTTTTTTGGGGGGGGGGCTTTGTATTCTGACTGGCTCATGGCTGAGAAATACATGTTTGTTCTTGTGATGTGATTGACCTCGTGTGCCTAGGGGAGCCGTTCAATGGCCAACTGGACATGACAGAGACCGTGAATTACGAGGACAAAGATCTGCACCAGGAGACAGGCAGCCACCCGAGACAACGCGGGATGAGTCAGCCTGGAAGATTTCCTTCCCAAGTTCCAGACAACCAAGTCCCAGTCGGTCAGCCTCCCAGACGCAGCCGGGAACATAACTGGAAACAAACTGGAACAACTGAATGCAGCGCTACCTGTGGGAAAGGTTTGTAGTGACGGACTCACAGATTTGACCCCGGGAGGGCTTGGAGGAGGTGGAGAGTTTAGCTATTGATTCATTTATTTTTCAATTTCTATAACTGCCCATCTCTGCCCAAGCGATTCTGGGTGGCTTATAAGTCTAGAATTCTAAAATAGTTAAAACAATGAAAACAGCTAGAAAAGGAACACAAAACAGCAGCCAAGATAGTGAAACAACTAACAGTAGGGTCAAGAAACAAGCAGGTTTCTTAGCAGGTTGTGATCCCCAGGCCTGGGTATGTAGCCAGGTTTTTAAAGCCTTACGGAAGACCAACCAGACTGGGGCAGCAAAATAGTGCAGTTCTCCCTCTCTTAGTATTTGGGACATCTTCAGGGCCTCCCAGTGCCAGCGGTCATTTTATTTATTTATTTATTGATGAGACTTATATACCGCTTTAAGTGCAAGCACTCTCTAAGCGGTGTACACCAGTAAGCAATGTATATATATATATTTACATTGCCCCCAACAATCTGGGTCCCCATTTTACCTACCCCGGAAGATGGAAGGCTGAGTCCACCTTGAGCCGGTGAGATTTGAACCGCTGACCTGCTGAACACAGTCAGCTAACGTGGCCTGCAGTACTGCACTCTAACTGCTGCGCCACCTCGGCTCTTTTCCCTTCCAGATCATCTCAGTTACTGAAGGTTGACTTCAGGAGGAAAAAATTCAAGAAATTCTCTGCTGGAAAAGTTTCCCAGTGGTGTAACTCCATCTGAAGTTTAAGGCTTCCTAGAAACATTTTTCTTTTTCAGACCTGGGGTGAAGGACCCCCCTCCTGAGTCCAGGCCATTCACGTTGACCAGGTCCTCCTCCATTTTTCTTAATTGAGGATCTAACTGCCTCTTCCAAAGACACTTTGGTCAGGTTTTCCTCTCTCCAATCACACCCCGTTTTTGGAGCTCCTCAGCTGGCTATTCCTGGGAACGTTGGTGGTTGTGAAAACAAGATTTGCTAGCCACTGGGATATTTACTGCTCTGATAGAAGCAGCATGCTGAGAGAGGAAACTGTAGGAAAAGAGGAAGGATGGAGGCTGGCCAAAACTTCCGGATTTTCTGTAAACTCACTCTGGAGAAGAAGAATAGCCCTGTTAGCTTTTAGGAGGCTGAGAGCTTTCCTGGTTGAATACACCATTGAATATATTACATTTGACTTTGGCAGAAATTTCCTTTTTCATTTCCTTTGTGAGTAAATCGGGACTGTTTTTTTTCACGGTATGTCAAGCAGCCCTCAGGACTAAGCAGGAAGGCCAGTTTCTCTCCCCATTCCACCCACACTCAACGTGAAGGGAAGAACCACGGGAAGTTCCTCGTGAGAGTTCAAGATGATTGGAAATAAAACACACACTGAATAGAAAGCTTGGCTTCACTCGTTCTGTGATGCCAAGGGTCTGACGCATGAATCTGTAGCTGATCATCAGTGGCCAAGATGCAACCTCAAAGAGCCACAGCCTTCGTGGCTCATGTGGATAGATTCTGAGAGTTGTGAGTTCTGCAACCTATGGAGGGCCACAACAATGAGCCGAGGTGGCGCAGCAGTTAGAGTGCAGTCCTGCAGGCCACTTTAGCTGACTGTGTTCAGCAGGTCAGCGGTTCAAATCTCACCGGCTCAAGGTTGACTCAGCCTTCCATCCTTCTGGGGTAGGTAAAATGAGGACCCAGATTGTTGGGGGCAATGTAAATATATATATATATATATATATACATTGCTTACTGGTGTACACCGCTTAGAGAGTGCTTGCACTTAAAGCGGTATATAAGTCTCATAAATAAACATATCTTAATATAATATGCGGCAGTTTTGATTGATTTCTTGATTGCCTGCTATTGAGTTGTTTTCTAATCCTAGTTAGAACTTCTCCCTGATCATCTGTCCCCAATCTTGTTCTTCAGAACTTCCAAGGGACTTCCACCGAGTCTCTCCCCTTTGCTGCTGGTGGTCCTCCTCTTCTTCTGTTTCCTTCTACTGTTCCCACCATCAGGGTGTTCTCCAGAGAACTGGGTCTTCATATCATATGTCCAAAGTAGGATAATATGAACCTGGTCAAATTTGAACCTAATTAAGTAGGCCCTGCAACTGTTCTGAAGTGATACTCATCCCACAAGTTGTTGCAATTCAGCTCTTCACTTTGTACAACGAAGGTTTCTGCAGCCTTCAAGGTTCCTCCTTGTCTTGTGAGAACTGCAACCTCATTGTCAAAATCTACTTTGCAGTTGGCCTGGGTTCAAGAGCATGTCATATTTTGACTGGGAAGATAATCCAACTTGGTCCAGATTCCTGCCCTGGAGAAATTGGCCATGGAAAGAACCTTCTCTGGTTTAAATTCAGGAAGAGGGATCTGTTCCAAGGACTGCTGTGAGAAATTTAAAAAAACAACAACAACCTTTCTCCCTCTATCGCTTGTGAAGGGAAAATCACTTTTTTGACAAAATATATACGATATCCTACTTCAAAGATTGGGAAAGGTTTCCATTGCTGAGGAATTCAAATGTATTTGCTTTTGCCATCGACCATAACAGAAGGGCAAACAATCATAGTTTTATCAGAGAAGCATCACAACAACAGTCAAGGTTGTTTAAACTGAGCATCAAGTAGATGGTTTGGAAGTAACGTTTAGTCCCACTTAGGGAGATCTGCGGAAACTGATGTGGTAGGCTGGTCACTCAAGCCCCCATGGCATTCGTGGGGTTTGCTCGCAGTCTTACTAAAACTGGTTCCAACTGTGTGAGGTTTTGTTGTGGTGGTTGTTTCTTTTAAAACAAAGGTTCACACTCTAGGGGGGAAGAGCCCTGTAGCCCTTTGCAGCCAAACCAGCAAAGAAACAACAACAACCAAAAAAAGCCTCTTAGAGAGAAATTTACAATGACCTAAATGCTGTTCTTTTAATTAAATTCATGGCTGTTGGCCGAAACTCAGTGAGATGTGTTTGTGGCTTGTTGGATTAAGCATGAGAGAGAGAGAGAGAGAGAGAGAGAGAGAGAGAGAGAGAGAGAGAGAGAGAGAGAGAGAGAGAGAGAGAGAGAGAGAGAGAGAGAGAGAGAGAAAGACAGACAGACAGACAGACAGACAGACAGACAGACAGACAGAGAAACAGAGAGGAAGGGAGAGAGAGAAAGAGAAAGACAGACAGAGAGAGAGGGAGAAACAGAGAGGGAAGGAAGAAGGGAGTGAAAGAGAGACAGAGAGACAGACGAGAGAGAGGGAGAAACAGAAAGGAAGGGGGAAAGTGAGGGAGGGAGAAAGAGAGACACAGAGAGAGGCAGAAACAGAGAGGAAGGGAGGGAGGGAGAAAGAGACAGGGAGAGATGGAGAAACAGGGAGGGAAGAAGGGAGTGAAAGAGACAGAGAGACAGGGAGAGAGGGATAAACAGGGAGGGAGAGAGGGAGGGAGTGAGAAAGAGAGAGAGAGACACAGAGAGAGGGAGAAACAGAGGGAGGAAGAGAGGGAGGGAGGGAGGGAGAAAGAGAGACAGGGAGAGAGGGAGAGAGGGAGAAACAGAGAGGGAGGGAAGAAGGGAGTGAAAGAGAGACACAGAGAGAGGGATAAAGAGAGAGAGAGGGAGAAACAGAAAGGGAAGGAGAGAGAGAGAGAGAGAGATGACATTAGTTTGACTTGGCATATGTTTAGTAGGCTTTCTCTTCTCCTTTCTTATTTATGGTTTCTGATCTGGAATATCTACAGAAATTCAGGGTGAGTTCAATTGAATGCAGGAGAAGAAATTGACTCATCCCATCCAGGGCTACATGTATGTCTTCCATTCAATGGATTTTTCACAGCTTCTTGCTTTATCTGTCTTTTCCTTTCAGGGGCGCAATATCCCATCTTCCGCTGCGTGCACAGAAACACTCACGAGGAGGTAGCCGACAGCTACTGCGACATCAACTCCAAGCCCACCCCGGAGGAGGAACCCTGCAACCTTTTCCCTTGCCCAGCCTTGTAAGGAGCTGATCCTTTCTCATATAGCACCTAAACTTTCCTGGCCATTTCCAGAGAACCCTAACCACAGACCCTGCAACCCCCCCCCCCATTTCTGAAATTTCAAGTGGAAGTAGGGTGGCAACGCTTAGTTAATGTAGCTCTGCCTAGAAACTAAAGCTCCAATCCAATCCACATTGAACCCAGAGAATCTCTCTAGCTCAGGGTTGAACAGTGGGATCTTTGGTGCTTTCTGGGTTTGGTGGTTTTCTTGCAGATGTTTCATGATCCAACTAGGTAATATCATCAGGGCTAGAAGGGAGGGGGGTTGCAGAGAGGAAGAGGAGGGGGACTGTGGGGTTCTTTGTGCTCTCTGAGCTTGATTGTTTACTTTCATCATGCAACTAGGACTAGGTAACATCATCAGTGCCAGAAGAGAAGGAGGTTTGTGGAGTGGAGAAGAAGGAGAGGAAGAGAAGGAGAAGGAGAAAGAGGAGAAGAAGGAGAATGGTGGGGTCCTTCGTGTGCTCTGAGCTCGGTTGTTTTCTTGCAGACATTTCATTACCCAACTAGGTGACATCACAACTACCTGATCATCACCATCATCATTAAAACATCATCAACACCACCAGAGCACTGAAGATATTGCCTAATTTGGTAACAACACATCTGCAGGAAAACAAGCTCAGAGATCACCAAGGACCCCAATTCATATTTTCCAGAAAGGAAGTTGAGGGGAAATTTGTATTTGTGCTGAAACTTACCGGTCAGTACAGAAGAAAAATTCACCCCCAATCGGGTGATAGAGTAGTTAATTTCCACCATTTTTCAGAGGTTTCCATTTTCTGCCCTTAGCTAGTGTGCGAGACAATCCATAAAGCTATTGGCAAAAGCCCAGATTTATAGATGGCACCAATGTGTTGCATTTCCTTATTTCCTAGCTGGGATTTAGGAGAGTGGTCAGAATGCAGCAAATCCTGCGGCCTGGGGATGCAGCATCGCCAAGTTCTCTGCCGGCAAGTCTATGCCAACCGCACCTTAACGGTTCAGCTACATCGATGCCAACACCTGGAGAAACCAGAGACGACAAGTACGTGCCAACTGAAGATCTGCAGTGAATGGCAAATTCGGACAGAATGGACATCGGTAAACAGGAATGATTCAAAGCCAAACAACATTGGCAGCTTGGCAGTGCCATTGATGCAACCCACTCCTTCTTGTTGGTAGCCCTTTCTGAAGAGGCCAGGTCAATCCTTTGGCAGGGTAAACAAGACCATTCACAAGGCCAGGAGGGCTGAAAGGGTAGCCTCCCTGAAAACTGAATGGGGTGAGAGGCATCTGGGCACCTTGGGAGACGATCTTGGCTTACTTTGATTATCAGAGGAAATCCATGGTCTCCATTTCAAAACAAGGGTGGAAGGTTTCCATCAGCACCAGACTGCCCTTGAAATTAAAAAAAACCAAAAAAAAAAAAAAAACCCAGTTGAGGTCTTCCAAAAGACTTGAGTTTTGAGATAACCCCCCAATCCAGGATATCTTGGCTGTGTGGTGGGGTCATCACAAGGGCAGGGCCTGGGGTGATAGCATGGTGACTTGAAAGCAACCTTTGATCTGTGAGTTTTGTGTCTGCTTGATCTGAAAGTTTGTTCTTGTTTTTAGTGCTCGGTTCCATGTGGAGTTGGCCAGAAGACCCGGGATGTAAAATGTGTCAGCAACCTTGGGGACATTGTTGATGATGAGGAGTGTAACATGAAGCTGCGGCCAAATGACATTGAGAACTGTGATATGGGGCCTTGTGCCAAGAGCTGGTTCCTTACGGAATGGAGTGATCGGGTAAGGTTGGGTATTTTCATCCAATTTAATCAGAGTTTGCTCAGGCAAAGCAAAGCAGCTTAGCATACAAAAAAAAAAAAAAAAAAAACCTCCACCAAACTTTCAACATACATGATCGAAGTCCAATTTTTGGTCATGCTAGCCTAGAAAAAAAAACCAAAAAAAGAGAATTCCATTACACAAATAGCAGTACAGATTAATGTTGTAGTTTCTGGAATGCCTTAAAAGGACACCTGGTTTTCTAACTTTATCCCTCAGATGTGTGCCAATTTCTTTTGAGTTTCCTCTTGCTGTTTTGAAATTGACTCTCTTGTTCATTGGAAGTTTTGGTGTATGGAAGCTTGCAAGGAGAAACACCTAGTTCACACATTCCCCTAGTCACTAAGGATGTTCAAGGACCCACTGTCCCACTGATACTTGGTGATATTCTTTAGTCTTCTGAAATTCTCTTTTCCTCAAGAGCAGAGGTCTCCAAACTTGAAGCCTTGAAACCCACAAGTCTTCAAGTTGTTAGGTTTGGAGACGCCTGCCCAAGAGACACAGGATGTCCTGTTTGCCATCGTTCACTCCCTAGAGATTAAAATGGACGATCTGAAACTTCAGCTGGAAGCCACGAACAAGGAGTGTATATCGGAGGTGGTGGTCCTTTGAGAGCTGCATGCAACGAAATTTCATTTTGGTGTATGCCGATTGGTGTACATTCAAAATGACAATAAAGTTGTTGTTATGTAAGATACTTGCTTCTGGAGAAGTCCAAACTATACAGCTTCCACCTTCCTATCTGCTCTCTGGGGATCTTCCTTTTCCCAAGGAATCTTAGAGGTGATCCTGAGTGATTGTAGAGAAAATATCTTGGGGGACCCACAAGAGAAGCTGATTTCTACAGACTTTCATCTCAATAAAGCTGTACTTCTTCCAGTTGGCCAGATGGTTCTAGCCCCATGCCAAAATCTCTCCGCTCCACCAACTTCTTTCTCAAGGCTGAAGCTCAAAGCTGTAACTGAGTCTCTTTTCTCATTTCACAAAGTATTTTTTTTAGTGTTTATTTATTTACCTTGACAAGGGAATGGATATCTCTTTAGTGATTTATTGGAATCCTTATGAGAAGAAAAAGGTATTGTTCCCCCAAAACAGGGAAGCAAAAAATAAATGCACAAAAGCATCTCTGGATTAAATCCAACGTTGTTATAAATCCAGCCACATCAGTGAAGAGATTAGCTGCAGGTTTTCTTCCTCTTCTTTCTCCCACTAGTTTTTGTTCTTCCACAGTTTTAAACCTGTGACTTAATTTTTTTTTTCCTTTTTACAATGGAGAATGTCTTTATTGCGATTTGCACACAGTGTACCAAATAGTTTTGATTGGATCAGATATTTTTGCCTGGAGGGTCCTTTTGAAGAATCGAGGACAGCTTAGGAAATTGTTTTAAGATGAATGTTATTCCAAATACAGGTATGCGCAAACACGAGGGGGGGGGCTCGCCAGCTATTCCCGTGGCCTGGTGGCGAAGAGGCCACGGCCCAGTACTGGGCTGCAGACCATAGGTTGGGGACCCCTGGTGTAGAATTCCTTAGAGCAATTTCTGCATTATTATACTTATGGACAAAACTAATTTGCTTATTTAGATTGGGCAGGAAACCAATCATCACCATCATCATCATCTAAATTTCTGGTCTGGGTCCCACCCAGATCTCTGCTCTTTTTCTCTTGGCTGGGCTGGTGGTTCCCAAAGAATGCCCTTATTTTAATGCTAAAAGGCTGGGCGAGATAGAAGCTGAGTGCCAAGGAATATTTTAGTCTGAAGTCTCCCGCTGAAGCCCTTTGAATTCTTTGGGAGCAGTAAATTTTGTACTGAAATCTCACTCCCCAGGGTGGGCTGGGCCTGTATCTTCTCATTTGGCCTTTCGTCTGAAACTGGATGCGTGCATGCCGGGCTCGCCTGTAGCCATTTAAAACAGAACAGAGGGGGATCATTGCTGGGGAACTTCACCCAAAGTGGTTTCCAGTTCTTTGTCTTGGAGAGGGCTGGGGGAGGAATGACCCTGGAAAATCGGCTGAAAAGGAAAATATCTTTTGCGGGGACACACACACACACACACACACACACAATCTAAAATGATGTGTTTCTGTTACACTTTTTTCTTTCCCTAGGGCTGCAGACAGAGAATAATTTTTTTCCATGGTGTTCTCCCCTCCTAATGAACTCAAAACCAGCTTGAAAGTTCAAGAACTTCCATAATTGAATTTTATCATTCCATAGAACCTAGTCCTTCAATAAAATAATCTTCCCTTCTTCCTCCCTGCCTCCCTCCCTCCCTCCCTCCCTCCCTCCCTTATTTTCTTCCCTTCCCTTCCCTTTCCTGCTCTTAATGAAATTTTGTATGTGTGTGTGTGTGTGTGTGTGAGTGTGGCTGCGGGTGTGTGCAAGTGCAGTTGCCAAATGCCAGAATTGGCACATGCAGCCTACCCTGTAACAAAATGCTTACTTGGGGCTTTCTTTCCATGTGAAATATAATATAAATGTTCGTGACTGTTTAAATTCAATTATGCACACATCTTTCAGCAGTCGGCGCATGGTTTTTCTTTATTTTCAATAATCCATTCTCTGCCCCCTCTAAAAGAATCTGATACGAATTCCTGCCTGTCTGGGTCTGTCTAAAAAGGTGAGGGACAACAGAGTGAGAAAGGGAGTTAAAGAAAGGAAGAGAAGCATAAAAAACGAGGACTTAGGTACGTGCGCAAAACACGGAAAGAATTTGCATCTGATTGAAACACTTGGAGGTTCTGGAAGATTCAGAATATTCAAGGTGTTGCATTCACAGAGGAAAAAGCAGGCACTTTTTTTGTCAAATTGTTGGGACCCTCGTCCTTTACCATACCCCATAGATTTCCCCCAGGATATCTTTATGTCTCTATGTGTGTATGAGAAAGAGAAATACAGCTGTTCTTTTCTTTGCATTTCATACCTTCTGTGAATCTCAGTTTTCTGCAAATGCGAGCCCTGCTTAATTTCCTAAATTTTATTTCTTTTTTTATACGACAGGGTGATGGAAAAGAGGTTCTCTGGAAAAAAAACCCACTGTGCCTTTTGCTCTTCCTGTCTTCTCCAGCCATTTTTCTCCCTTGCTCAGTTTTCTGATACAAGAGGATGTGGAGAAAGAAGAATCTCTTGCAAACTCACCTTTAAAAATCATTAAATTTTATTATAATGTTGCATAGCCTTTCTCCATGGCCCAAGGTGGATTTCCCCAGCTAGAAATCTGGGCCTGTGTGGTATGTTTTGTGTCAAACAGGTCTCTCTCCTCCCAATGCTTCTCGTAATTCATTTTCTCTTAGTTACGATCCTTCCACTGTCTTTTTCATCCCAACAGTGCTCGGCAGAATGTGGGTCTGGTGTTCGAACCCGTTCCGTGGTCTGTATGACCAACCACATCAGCAGTTTGCCACTGGAGGGTTGTGGCAACAACAGACCCTCGGAAAGTACCCCCTGTGACAACGGGCCTTGCCTGGGGAAAGTCGAGTGGTTTGCTGGCAGCTGGAGTCAGGTACCTTTCATGCATGGATGCCAGGTATTTCTGGATCCCTCTTTAGCTGGAGGTAGTGGTTAAAGACATTGAGCTTGTTAGCCAGGAAACTGACAGCCCGGATTCAAGACCCAAGTGCTGTGCAACGGGTGAGCTCCCGTTCCCTTGCCCCTTGCCCCTTCCCACCTAGCAATACAAAAGCATGCAAATAAATATGAGCCAGTCTTGTGCTGCAGCTGCCAAAAAAGCCAACACAGTCCTAGGCTGCATTAACAGAGGGATAGAATAAAGATCACATGAAGTGTTAATACCACTTTACAATGCCTTGGTGATTTTATTTTTCTGGGCTCCAAGATCACCTCAGATGGGGACTGCAGCCAAGAAATTAAAAGATGTTTGCTCCTGGGGAGGAAAGCTATGGCAAATCTATACAGCATACAAAAAAGCAGAGACATCACCCTGCCAACAAAAGTGCGTGTAGTCCAGGCCATGGTTTTCCCAGTTGCAATGTATGGCTGTGAAAGTTGGACCATAAGAAAGGCTGAGCGCCAAAGAATTGAGGCCTTTGAACTATGGTGCTGGAGAAGACTCCTGCGAGTCCCTTGGACTGCAAGGCGTTCAAACCGGTCAGTCCTAGAAGAGATCAACCCCGACTGCTCTTTAGAAGGCCAGATCCTGAAGTTGAAACTCAAATATTTTGGCCACCTAATGAGAAGGAAGGACTCACTGGAGAAGGGCCTAATGCTGGGAAAGATTGAGGGCAATAGAAGAAGGGGACGACAGAGAATGAGATGGCTGGATGGAGTCACTGAAGCAGTAGGTGTGAACTTAAATGGACTCCAGAAGATGGTAGAGGACAGGAAGACGTGGAGGAACATTGTCCATGGGGTCGCGATGGGTCGGACACGACTTCGCAATTAACAACAACAACAATGCCTTGGTAAGGCCACACTTGGAAAATTGAATCCAGTTTTGGTCACCACGATGTAAAAAAGATGTTGAGACTCTAGAAAGAGTGCAGCGAAGAGCAACAAAGATGATTAGGGGACTGGAGGCTAAAACATATAAGGAACGGCTGCTGGAATTGGGTATGTCTAGTCTAATGAAGAGAAGGATGAGGGGGGACATGATAGCAGTGTTCCACTATCTCAGGGGCTACCCCAAAGAAGAGGGAGTCAAGCTACTCTCCAAAGCACCTGAAGGCAGAACAAGAAGCAACGGATGGAAACTCATCAAGGAGAGAAGCAACCTAGAACTAGAAGAAATTTCCTGACAGGACAATTAATCAGTGGAACAACTTGCCTCCAGAAGTTGTGAATGCTCCAACATTGGAGGTTTTTAAGAAGAGACTGGACAACCATCTGAAATGGTATAGGGCAGGGGTGTCAAACTGCCGGCCTGCGGGTCGGATGGGTCACGCAGAAGCCGCACCCACCCCATTGCTGGCAATGGCAAAACAGTCCCAATACGTCGTGCGACGTCACATGATGTCACAAGTTTGACATGTCTGGTAGAGGGTTTCCGGCCTGAGCAGGGGGGTGGAATAAAAGACCTCCAAAGTACCTTCCAATTCTGTTATTCTGTAATCAAATGTGAGTAGATCAATACGTACCACTTTGGTGGGACGTTAACAGCATTCTGTGTCCCTTTGGCATATAGCCACGCTGGCCACATGACCACATGTCATGTCTTTGGAAATGCTGGCTCCCTCAGCCAAGAAATGGAGATGGGTGCTGCCCCCCACAGTCAGACATGACTGAACAGGGGAAATCTGTACCTTTAGTTGGAATGGTTGCCAAGAGAACTAAGTTCTGTCTCAAGGCCATGATGTAATAAAGTCCTTGCACACCCCCGAGAGCAGGTGGGAAGACAAGAGAAGAACTAGAATCGCTCTTTCACCAAATTCCCAATGCTGTGCGGTCTTAAGAACAACTGCAACGCAGATGTGGCAGAACCTAGCCAGATTTTGCTGGTTGTCTTATCAGAGAAAGCTGGAAGGGGCCTGTTTAAAAAGAAGGGCTCATCTGTTGCTGATTTCTCAGCTGAGGGGGGGGGGAGAGTAGCCCCATTTTCCACTCTTCTCCTTCCGGTCCTCCAATCTGATGACATCCTAGATGGATCTGGAGATGCTCCTGCTGAAATGTTAACGGTGATAAACATCCCTGGATTTCAGCAAGACAGGTGATCCTGTGCTGAACGCTGCAGAGCCAGAAATAGGATATTGCTGTAAATTTAGTCTTTTCACACTGAAAAGATAAAATCAGAACCATGAGCCCCACTCCTGCAATATGTCTTCAGATGGTCCTTGGGTTTGGACCATTTATTAGGGGACCATTCAGGTTGGTGATGGTGGGGTCCTAGGGAGACTTACAACTGGTCCTCAAGAGTTCCGATCATCATAGCATCCAGACGTCCATGAGTCTTAAAGTTGACAAAGTTGGACACCCCTGTTTTAAGCAAGTACCGTTGCAAGATCTGAGGGAAGACCCTGCAATCGGGGGTCTTTATTACTCATTTGACCCCATTCTGCCTGGAACTAAGTGAGCATTTGAGATGGATTCAGCTTGATCCAGTAGAAAAATTAATCCGTGGAACAACCTGCCTCCAGAAATTGTGAATGCTCCAACACTGGAGGTTTTAAAGAAGATATCGGACAGCCATTTGTCTGGAATGGCAGAGGGTTGATTGCTTGTGCAAGGGGTTAGACTAGGAGACCTCCAAGGTATCCCTTCCAACTCCGTTATTCTATATTCTGCCCCTTTAATCCCGTTCCTTAAGGATTTTAAGAGTTTAGTCTATTTTTCCTCTAATAACATTGGCGATACTCACGTCTGCCAGCTGCTTAGCCTTTGCTGAGCACCAACAGTTTAGTTCTACTGCACAAACATTTTTCCTGAAAATAAAACACAACTTTTGCACAGCCAAAAGTTTTCGTTTTGGTAACTGCTCCCCTAAGAGTTAACTTGCTTTGAGACCCACAATTTACAACGCTATTAACTGGAATTATGTTTGAACTTCAGACACCCATGTTGAGTTTATCTATAAATCTCCCCTCTTGCCCCAGGCCTCTAATTTATTTCTCCAAGGTAATAAATTCTTCAGGAATAGGCACCCAAGAGTATTTTAAAACCCACAAGACTTTAATTCTCCTTTGTTAGTTATAATCGCTTTCTCTGCAACAGATGGGCACATGCCGATATTGTAAGGTTGAAAAGCACAGAAAATGACACAATGTCATATTGGAAGCAGATGGTTACCATTTCAAAATAGTTTTATTAAAATTGTGCAACTTGGTTCCTTGTTTATGATTGCTGGTGTCCCCGTTGAAAAGTAGATGTAATTTATGAGCCCTTACAGCTCACAGGATAAATGGGTGAGCCATTAAGGCATCTCAGAAATAATGATGGTTTCAAAGCCTACTCAGATAAATCAGCTCAATTCAATCAGTCACCTGATTGGTACACAATAAAAAGAAGAAAGAGGAGAAAGGGAAGAGGAAATCAAATATTTGCATCTGTGTCCAGGAAATTGGAACAGGTAAAGCAGAGGTCTCCAATCTTGGCAACTTTATGACTGGTGGACTTCAACTCCCAGAATTCTGGCTGGCTAAGGAATTCTGGGAGTTGAAGTCCACAAGTCTATAAAGTTGCCACAGTTGGAGACCCCTGAGGTAAAGGACAGAGCTAAACTTGATAGGACCACTTATCCAAAAGGGAAATCCTCATATTCTTCATTGAAACCAGTAGATGATGATGGAGGAGGAGGAAGAGGAAGAGGAGGAGGAGGAGGAGGAGGAGGAGGAGGAGGACAACTGTGGGGTACTTGGTGCTCTCTGTGCTTGGCAGTTTTCTTGCACACATTTCATGACCCAACTAGGGAACATCATCAATGCAGAAGGGAGGGAGTTTAGGCTGAGTTATCCTTTCCCACCATCCCTGTTAACCAGACCATACTAAAAACATTTGATATTTTGGATTTGGGTCAGTTTGGGCTGTTTTTAGTTATCACGTGTGTTGACTTTGCTCAGAACAGCCTGTACTTTTTGCTGGGACAGCTGATCTACGTCTATTCAAATATAACAAAAATTATACTTGGCCTATAAACGACAGTGCTTTTTTAAAATAAGAGTCAGTTAGGCTAGGCTAATCCAAACCCCAAACTCTTTAGAGATTGTAGCCTTTCAAGTGACCTAGAAAACGGTACATTATTGGAGTTGTCTTTTTCAGGAAGAATACCACATCTGTATATTTAGCCTTTAAAGCTGCAGGAGAGATCTTCAAAAAGCCAAAATCAGCTTTTTTTCAGACCCGAAGTCCATGTCCAACACCCGGGTGGATTGCTTGTCCTTCCAAAAGATTGAATAGAACAGGAGGGCTGTTTTTTTTTTTTTTTTCCCTTTTAAAAAAGCCAGCAGCCAACCTGAATTCTCGCCTCAATTGCTGGAGAAGTAGCAAAAATGTTCACCTTCATGGAAGTTGGTTTTGCTTAGAAGCTGCAACTTTCTGTTTTAGAAGAAGAAGAAAAAAACCGTTTGTGCGACGGCTGCCACAAGGGAAGGAGGTCTTTACCCACTTGGGTTCCTGCCAATCTGTGGTCTTTCTGAAGCTCTAGCTGGTTCCACCTCACTTCCACACGGGCTTTGCAAATATTTGGGTAGGAGAAGCCTACAAAAGAAACGCCCTCACTTCGGCCCCTGGGAGAACGTGCTTTAAAATGTACGGAATCAGAGAACCGTCTGCTGTAATGTATGCTTTTTGGGGGGGGGGGAAATGCATGCTTTGATCAGAGGACTGCGACACAAGATGAAGAGAACTGCATTCAAGGTTGGAATATTGGCCTGGAAAATAATAGGCGCCATAATTCCCTGCTTTTCATTGCTCCTTGTAAAGGGTGAGAGTGGATTTGTGGTTCCTCGGAATCTAATAGAATGAACGGAGGAAAAGAAATTGGATGAGATTCAGGGCTTGCCTTTGGCTAACCAGCTTTGTCTTAGTTCTCCTAAGAAAACATCTTCTTTCCTAAAAGCTACAAGCTCACCTGCTTTCCCTTCAAATAGCCCCCCCATGTCACAATCCTATTAGGTTTTTTTTTTCTTTATTACGGTACACCCAGGAGAATTTTACTCACATTTTTCCTCTGATTTTTTTAAACCCCTCTTTCCTTCCTTCCTTCCTTCCTTCCTTCCTTCCTTCCTTCCTTCCTTCCTTCCTTCCTTCCTTCCTTCCTCCCACCCTCTCTCCTGTCTCTCCTTCTCCCTTCTCTCCTTCCTTCCTTTCCCCATTCTCATTTTCTTTCCTTCCTTCCTCCCTCGTTCCCTGCCTCCTGTCTCTCCTTCCTCCCTCCCTTCTTCCTTCTCTCCTTTCTTCCTTTCCCCATTCTCATCTTCCTTCCTTCCTTCTCCCATTCTCATCTTCCTCCCTCCCCTCCCCTTTTGCCCTTCCTTCCTTCCTTCCTTCCTTCCTTCCTTCCTTCCTTCCTTCCTTCCTTCCTTCCTTTCTTTCTTTCCCACATTAAATGAGAGGTCAAACATGCTGGAAAATAACTTTGCCTAGCTTTGCTTTCTGTGGAGCCACATGACTGCAATCACATTTGGTGGAGTCTTGCAAACTGATCCTTGTGTTCTGTGAAAACAAGTGCTTCTTAAACTTGAATTATCAAACCACCTATTTATTTTGTTTCTAAGCAGACTCAATTAGTCCTCCTGATTAAAGTAAGATGCCTGCAACAGATCTTGAGCAGACACAGGCATCTTGGTGGTGGTTGCTGCAAATTAAGCTGGAATGAACTCAGAAAAACAAAGCAAGTGTTAAAATCAAAAGTCAATGGTTCTTGGATTAGTCACTGAAATATCTTTTAATTTTATTTTTCTTGCTTTCGCATCATTGCTATTCAAGGTATGAGATGCTGTTTTTGTGTTGGCTTAGTTCAATGTATGGTTATTTTAAAAATGGGACACAATATTCTTGCAGTGATTTTCCAGGTTTCACACTTATTTTAATAGTGGTCACTTCATCAAATCAGGGCATTGTGAATATGTGATTCCTAACTGTCCGGAGCACTCAGGAAATCCAAACTGGATCCAAGGGAGCATCAAAGCCTTGGACATAAAAACATGACAAGTGGGGAAAAATGATTTTTAAAAAGGCAAGAGGGAAAAATAATCTAAACCTGGATTGCAGCTGCTGCTGCTTCTCCAGAAAATATTCAATTGGGAACATGTACATGTTCACCTGTTCCATTAAACCTGCTTCAAGTTGTTTAGCTAATGGATCCCTTCTTTTGATCCAGTCACAATTGCATACATATTCTTGGGTGGTCAGGGCGTCTAATGGCTAATGGCTGGAACAAACATTGTTTGTGCAGAAATGATGTGAACTTCCAATTCCTTCTGACGTTTCCGACTTCCCTCCCTGGAGACTGAAGAGTGGCTGAAATGTCTGTGGAAGGAATAGGAAAGCAAACTTTGTCTCCTTTTGGCTAGTCCTAAGAGGTGTGGTTCGCTTTTACATTAGGGTTTCTCAGTCTTGGCCAGCTTGAAGATGGGTCGGTGTCAACTCCCAACCTGACTGGCTGGGGAATTCTGGGAGTTGACACCCACCCATATTCAAGCTTGCCAAGATTGAGAAACCCTGTTCTACATTGTTCAAAATTAATTGGAGACACCAATCCAGAGTGGGCCAGGAAAAACAGTTGCAGGAATTGGCCATGTCTAATCTAATTTAATAAAAAAAAAAAACATTAGGTGAGACGGGATAGCAGTTTTCCAATATTCGAGGGGCTGCCACGAAGAAGAGGGGGTCAACCTATTTTCCAAAGCAGCCGAAGGCAAGGCAAGAAACAACGGATGGAAACTGAACCAAGGAGAGAAGTAACCTAGAACTAAGGAGAAATTTCCTAACAGTGAGAACAATTAACCAGGTGAATGGCTTGCCCCCAGAAATCGTGGGCGCTCCCTCACTGGAGGCTTTTATGACTAGTCAGCCATTTGTCTGAAACAGTATAGGCTCTCCTGCTTAAGCAGGGGGTTGGACTAGAAGACCTCCAAGGTCCCTTCCAACTCTATTATTCTGTTATTCTATATTCTGCTCCTTTAATCCTGTTCCTTAAGGATTTTAGGTGCTTAGTCGCTTCTGATGAAAGCAGTTTCTTCCTTCTCTTTTTCCTCTAGTCCAGTGGTTCTCAACCTGTGGGTCGGGACCCCATTTGGGGTCGAACGACCATTTCACGGGGGTCGCCAAACAACGCAGTCCGCCATTTTTTCCCCCTTTTCCTTAGCTGTGCTACTCCCTTTGATTCTATTGGCTTTTGAAAGCCAATAGAATAGACGTTCTTGAATAGAGTCTAATTCTATTGGCTTTCAAAAGCCAATAGGAATTGTCCAGGCTGTCTCTGCCCTGCTGAACCCGCCAAAAGTCCCATTCTGCAAACTGTGCTGCACCCGTTGAGTAGTCCTCGACTTACGACCGGTTGGGGGTCGTGGCATTAAAAAGGTTGAGAACCACTGCTCTAGTAACATTGGTGATACTCACTCCTGCCAGTTATTCAGTTATCTCAAAAAGGTTGAGCTGTCCACCTTGTATAATCTCTGTCTCTGCCCTTTTGTCACCCGGTCCAGTGTTCCATCGAGTGTGGCAGTGGCACCCAGCAGAGGGAGGTCGTCTGTATCCAGAAGACCGAGAACCACTTCGAGATGCTGAATCCCCACGAGTGCGCCTTCCTGCAAAGACCCCCCAGCCAGCAGACCTGCAACCTCAAGCCTTGTGGTGCCAAGTGGTTCAGTACCGAATGGAGCGCTGTATGTACCTGGGTGCTTTTCCCACTCTTTCTTTGTGCCACAGTACAGGTAGTCCTCAATGTACGACAACATTTGGGACCAGGATGCCTGTGGTTAAGTGAGTCTGATTGTATGACCTTTTGGGGGGGGGCACGATTGTTAAGCAAATCGCTGCCGTTGTTAAGTGGACCATGCGGTTGTTAAGTGAATCTGGTTTCCCTTATTGACTTTGCTTGACGGTGACCCAATGGGAAGATTGCAGATCACATGACCCCGGGATGTGCGACTGTTGTAAATAAATGCTGGTTGTTGAGCGCCCAAATTTTGAGCACCTGGCTGTGGGGATGCTACGATCAGTGGTGGGATCCAGCTGGTTCGCACCACTTCGGCAGAACTGGTAGCTAATTTTTGGTTGCCCAGGCCCAGAATGGACTTCCGGAAGTGGCATCCACACAGAAAACCAGTTGTTCACATATTTGAATCCCACCATTGGCTACGATGGTCATATGTGTGAAGGCTGATTGTGGCATTTTTCAGTGTTGTAACGTCGGATTGTTGCTAAACAAATGGTTGTAGGTCAAGGATTACTCGTATAATGTGCTGCTGATGCTGAAGCTATTTTTGAACTTTTGGACTCAGGGCTTAGGAGTCGTGGTGGTGCAGAGGTTAAATGCAGTATTGGAGGCTAATTCTACCCACTGCCAGCAGTTAAATCCTGACTGGTTCCAGGTTGACTCAATCTTCCATCCTTCCAAGGTTGGTTAAATGAGGACCCATTTTGTTGGGGGCAAGGGTTTGGCTAGTCTAGAGAAAAGAAGGACTAAGGGGGACATGATAGCAGTATTCCAGTATTTGAGGGGCTGTCACAAAGAAGAGGGGGGGTCACGTTATTCTCCAAAGCACCAGGACAAGAAACAATGGTTGGAACCAAAGAGAGAAGCAACCTGGAATTAAGGTTAATTAAGGAATTAACTTTCTGGCAGTGAGGACAATTAACCAGTGGAACAGAAGTTGCCTTCAGACATCATGGGCGCTTCATCACTGGAGGTTTTAAAGAAGAGACTGGACAGCCACTTGTCTGAAATGATATAGGGTCTCCTGCTTGAGCAGGGGGTTGGACTAGAAGACCTCCAAGGTCCCTTCCAGCTCTATTTTGATTGAAGATGCTAACTCCGAAAAACCACTTAGAGAAGGCTGTAAAGGACTGTGAAGCGGTATATAAGTCTAAGTTCTAATGCTAGTGCTATAAAAAAGTTCTTTAACAAATAATTTAAAAATGAGAAGATTGCGGGTGAAGTTTGCTCCTTGTAGATTTTGATGCTTCGGTCATAAAGCAAGAATGTGGTCTTGTTCTGGCCTCTGCTGCTTTCACTGCTTGTTTCTGCAGTCATAAATTCTTCCCTTCTTCACCACTCATTGGTGGAATCAGTCCATTCTCTCTGTGCTGTCTAAAGTGGCATTTTTGCTGCATTCCCAGTCGCAGCAGGAACCAAAATGCAAACTGAGTAAGGTTTGGCTTAATTAAAAAAATGCACATTAAAAACATTATTCTCAGAAACACTTGAGATAGTTTGCAGACTAAAGATAAATGCACTGATTAAGGTAAGCATATAATAACCCAGGGTATTATTTACATTTGCAGCCTTTGGTCTTCCCAGAAACTCAGTTTGGCTCACTCTGCTGTTCTTAGCATAATCTCAGGAAGGGAATCGGTCAGAGAACGGGTGACTGGCCCAGGGTCATCTGAAGAACCACTCAGCTCAGTAGGGATCGCTGCACATTGCCTCACGGGCTGAGGCTGAGCCTCACACAGAATTAAAAATTTACATTTGCAGCTTGGGTTCTCAAAACAACAAATTGGTTAAATCAGTTGGTTAAGTATGACTTCCAGACTTAAAGGGGCCAATGCAGGTTTTAGAAGCTGCAGTTCAAGAGAGAGACAGACAGACAGATGGATAGATGGATAGATAGATAGATAGATAGCTAGACAGACAGACAGACAGACAGACAGACAGACAGACAGACAGACAGACAGACAGACAGGTGGGCAGGCAGGCAGGCAGGCAGGCAGGCAGACAGACAGACAGACAGACAGACAGACAGACAGACAGACAAACAGATCACCCAACCTCACCACAATGCTTTTGCTTGTTGCTTTTGCAGTGTTCCAAGTCATGTGAAGGCGGCTTTCGAATTCGGGAGGTGCGATGTCTGTCAGATGACATGTCCCCAAGTACCAAATGTGACTCCCAGCTGAAGCTGGTGGAAAAGGAATCCTGCAACACCCAGGACTGCATGCCTGACATAGGTAAGAAGCCTGGTCTTGTTTTTCTAACCATGGATCTCCATCTAGTGGAGAAAGAAAGAAATCTATTTATGCCCCTGAGGTTACGAAGGCACTTCTTGGATAGATGGATAGATGATTTTAATCAGAGCTAAATGTATCTCTCTTAAAAAAAATTAGAATGAAAAGTTGGATGGATGGATAGATAGATGGAAGATAGATGATAAATATATGACAGATAGATAGGCATAGATAATAGATAGATTCCTGTATGAATGTATGGATGAGTGGATGGGTGGATGGATGGATGAATGGATGGATGGTTGGATGGATGAATGGTTGGATGGATGGATAGAGACACACACACACACACAGAGAGAGAGAGAGAGAGAGAGAGAGAGAGAGAGAGAGAAAGAGAGAGAGAGAGAGAGAGAGAGAGAGAGAGAGAGAGCGCTTTTGAGTCAGCGGTCAGGGTCCTGATGATCGCCTGGACCAGACCTTGCAGTCTTGTTGAACTCTGTGCATTGAAGTCCTCAAGTCTTAAAGTTGCCAAGGTTGGCAACCCCTGCCCTAAGAGGTCTTTCTGATGTTCTGCTTCCAGATGAAAACTGCAAAGATAAATACTATAACTGCAACGTTGTGGTGCAAGCCCGCCTCTGCGTGTACACGTATTACAAGACGGCCTGCTGCATATCCTGTTCCAGAGTGGCGAATCGGCAGTCGGGCTTTTTGGGGAGGCGATAACAGCTGCTCCGTCCCGGGCTTCAGACCTGTGCCTCAGCTCCCGCAAGCTGTTTTCACAACACTTCCACCTTTCCAAGAGTGGTTCTTTTTTCCCCATAATGATGGGCACCTCTGGTGATGGAAGCACCTCTGGGGGAATATCACTAACACACACTGTAATAAAAACATTGGGGAAACCCATGCTGTAACGCTGGACCTTCAAAGCTTTAGGCATGAGGATACATGCTGATGGATGGATGGATGATCTGCTATCAGGTCATTGATGACTCCTAGCAACCTCATAGATTTTCTCCATGTCAACCTGTTGTCCCTCACCTGCTTTTTCAGCTCTTCAGGATGCATGACAAGAGAGGTAGTCTTCAAACTTACAATCAGAATTGGGACTGGAATTTATGTCGTAAGTTATTGCAGTTGTTAATTGACAGTAGAAGGCACGGGGGCTGATAGAAATCTGGCACTTCTGGGATGAAGTGGGAGAGGTCTTTGCATTGTCCATTAGCTGTTGACTAGGTTAGAAGTGTTGTCGAAGCAAGACTACCTGGCGTCTCACAGTCTCTTTGAAGGGCAAGGACAGATCTGGAAGAACCTCATGCAAACAACTCTTGGTTGGCTTGACTTGAGTCAAGTTGACCTACCCAACCCATGTTCTCTTTGATTTATGAAAAGACAACTTCATGGAGGGCTGTGCAGGGGAGGAATGTTTTATGTAGAAATGGATTCCTTCCCTCCTCACCTCACAACTCTTGCAGAATGGTGGGGTGGGTTTTTTTTCCAATTATTTCAGTTGTCTTTCAGTAAACAAGCATGTTGTTTCAGGTTCACCACATTCCTTTCTTCAGCTATGGAGCAAGTTTAAGTAACCCATGTTTCTGGCCTCCATTTTTCATTTCTAGGATCGTTCCGCCAGACTTCCATCTGGGCTAAGAACATTTGCTGAGTTCTGTTATTTCCATTCCCTGTTCTTGGAGAAGTGGAGAACCTTATTCTGAGTTCCAACATAACTATGTTTATATCACCTCCAGCTACTGAGAAATCAATCAGGGTAGATCTCCCACAGCTTCCTTCATTTCTGGACCCAGAAATAGACATCTCAAGTACGTGTCTTGCTCATTTCCAAGAGAAGAAGTATTAGGAACTCAGATTTCATTTCTGATGCTGATTTTAGCTCAAGAAGAAAAGATTTTTACTCATTCCACCTCTCCCCCCCCCCATTTTAGCTCAGATCACAGTTGCCTTTGCAGTAAACAAGACCAGCCCCTGGTTTGGAGAAAATTAGCTTTGTTTATGCCCGGATCCATACGAAGCTAGCGAGATTTCTCATCCATGTTCAACAGAGGCATGAAAACTAAGCCAGATTTAGGCAACTTGCAGAATGAGAGACTCACCTCCCATTCCCTGGGTCAATTAACCTAAAATTAACTCCATCTGGCAAAATAAAGAAGGATATACTTTTTTATAACTTATTTTTTTATATTTGTAAATACAAGATGTTTATAGGAAAGTATGTATTCTAAAGCCACTACAACAAAATAGTTCTATTATTTAGAAAGTGATTTTTTTGTGGTGTATTTTTAACAAAAAAAGGGACTAAAATTGTATTTATTTATATATTCCACTGCCATGTCTGTCCAGTTTTTTTGGTAATACTAATCAGCTTTTAGCCTGGAAATTCTATACCATGTTGAATATATCAGTATCATGCTTTAATCCATATTTAGTGAGTATGTTTTCTAATTCCAAGGTTAATCATCCGTTTTTACAAATGGCTTCTTGTGTTAAAAAGTGAGAGATGTATAAGTTAAAAGAACCTCTAGATTAGTTCAGGATTTATATGCTCAGCAATGCACCTGGACTGTATTTGTACAGCATCCTTTAATATTTGTATACATATTCGCCAATGAGGAAAAAAAGGTATTTTTGCTTATGACTAATTTATTTTTTACTATTGTGAAAAAGTAATAAAGACATGAAATAAATGTCCTTGGCTTCTTTTATAGTTTTGTCTCCTCCTCCTCCTCCATCATTTAATTTCTTTAAAAAAATAAAAGGATAACAATAACCTTCTCTTCATTTACTCCATAAGATGCCACAATGCTTAATACAATGCTTAATTTTCATTTACATTCATTTGCATCTTGACCACCAGCATTCACCAAGATTTTTTCCCGTCACTCATTCTATGGTTTTGCTGCCTTGATTTCTCCTCTTGATTTAAAGTTTCTATGATTTAGGTGTAACCTACCTGTAAAAACCTATATCAGTTTGCTATGGGCAGGTGGAGCTATGCTTTTCCCAATATTGGAATATTGGGAAATTTCCTGAATTTGAATATTCGCAAATTTCTTTGAGGGATCGCTTTCCAACACTTATGTCATTTTGGAATCTGTTTGAAAATGTCTCCGTTGGGCAGCTCTTCCAAAGGGTTAATGCACAAATTTGGGGGACACTTTCACTATTCTTCCCCCCCCTTTTTTATTTTTGCTCTGATTTTTAAAGCAATCACAGCCTATTGAAAGCAGGTTGGCACCAGATGACCAAAAAAAAAAAAAAAAAAAAAGCCCAGAGACTTACAATACCTTTTATTCAGTTTTTCTTCCATTGCCAAATGCTGCTCTCACTTAGGAAGGTGTTTTTTTTTTTTTTGTTTTTTTTGAGAAAGGAAGAATGTGGAGTGATCAAAATTATAGGGGACTGATGAAGAAATTAGGATAAAATCTGATCTTTTAAAAATTTTAACACAGAGTTTCTTAATGTCCTCTTTGGGTATATCATTTTTATTCACGCAAAATATATTTATGTCAGGTTTCTTGTTATAAGTTGTCTTTCTATCTCCCTTTCCTTCTTCTAATGTGATTGCTGTTGCTAGTGGCACTAAGGATCTCTTCATTTATTTTTTTTTAAAAAAAGGATAGGTCTTTAATGTCACAACTCCATCTTGATTTTTTTGTGTGTGCATTCCAAAGAATACAACCCACAAAATAATGTGTTTTTCAGACTAGTTTTCAACCAGAGAATAGTGAATGCTACTGGATTCATTAAATGCTATTAACTGTCCTGTAGCATAGTCTCTTGCAAATTGTATAGAAATCCTTCACTATTTACTTATTTGTTTGTTTGTATGTTTGCCTTCTCTTTTTTTAAAAAAAATTCATTCTGCAATTTTCTCAAAAGCCCTCTTCAAAGAAGAGATTTCCAGCATTCTTCATGCCCATTCTTGGTGAAATTGTCCACCTCAGCTTGATGGGGATGGCTCTCTTAAGTCTTCAAATGCCCTAAAGTGGGAAGAAGATAAAAGGATCTGCCTGGGACTCACAGACATTTGTTGCCAGTTCTCTCCCTGGGCTCCAATTATCCTTCCTTTACATTGGTGCTGTAGAGTAGAATCCTGCAAAACAGGGGAAGTGTCTCAGAAGAATCACCAATCTTTAAGTAACAGGTCGCTCTCCGGTTGACTGATAAGCAACTGAGATTGCTAAATGGATTTTCGGCAACTGCGCGAACACCCAGAGCACGCCCCCATATTCAAACTACAAAAATAGTTAAAATCATTTATTTGTGATAGTGGTGAAGAGCTGTCGCTCAGGTGTAGGATGAGGGTGGAAAGTTCATTTTCCAAGCTTGTGGGTTGGTTTCCAAATGTTTCATTACCAGGCTGGGTAACATCTTCAGCGGAGTTTAGGGGATGCCAGTGTCAGTGTTCTTCTGACCCATCACAAGACCCTCACCTGACCCATCACCACAACATCCATCTCAAGACCCTCACCTGAACGTGACCCTCCCATCACAAGACCTACTGACCATACAAAGTACTTAGAAGCAGAAGAACAATGGCACTCCCTAAATGCAGTGGAAGATGTTACTTAGCCTGGTGACAAAACATTCAGGAACCAACCCACAACCACAGAGAACGAACCTCCATCCTCAAAATCATTTGTTACTAGACAATTTGTTAGAGAGTAATAGACCTGAGCCGAGGAGAGTTAGAGGTTTTTTTTTTTTTTTTTTTTTTGGTTCTTCTTGCTTTGTGAATGAAAGGCTGATGAAGCGAGCAAGAATGGTCCTTTAAATTTTGTTTGCAATTTGCATGTTTAACAAGGTGTGACCTCAACTCTGCCGCTGGAATTAAACTGTAGATCTTCCTACAATTGCCTGAAGCTCCTGGTTGTGTTTACACAAGGTGTAAAATTCATTCCTGAGTGAAAATCTTGAAACTCTCAGATCTTTGTAATACTCCTAAACTCACTCTGAGTATCTCCTCTTGAAAGCTATCCTCAGAAGGATTTTGCTGGAGATGGTTATTTCAAGCCAGGGTTAGCTTCAAATGTTCACCCAGGCATCCTGGTTGAGCAGAAAGCGAAGTCTCCAAAGGCTGTGCCTAATGTTCAAAGGACAATATCATATTTGGGGGAGTTTGGTTGGAAGTTAGACTAGTGGGGAATGGAGTTGAGAAAGTCATCAAATTTAGCTCTGGCCTGGAGAAAGAGGTGAGACAGGAGAAACTCTTGCTCCATCCTTGGACATTAGAAAGTCTGAGAAAAAGACTCTAAAGCCATGATCTTATTGTCCTTCAAAATGGGTTGATGAAAGTTTGGGATAGTATTTCAAGATTTTGTTAACTTACTCTGCAACATATAGTAGCTTTCCTGGAAATCCTGCTATCTCTCTTTCTTGGCATGGCCTACTTCAAAGAGCTAAACCCAAAATGCGCCCACAGAAGGGGCAAAATGCAATTATCAATAAATCAATCAGAATAGAGCTGGAAGGGACCTTGGAGGTCTTCTAATCCAACTCCTGCTCAAGCAGGAGAACCTACACCATCTCAGACAAGAGACTGTCTAGCCTCTTTTAAAAAATCTCCAGTGATGGAGCGTCCACGATTTTTGGAGGCAAGCTGTTCCACTGGTTAATTGTTCTCACTGTTAGGAAGTTTCTCCTTAATTCCAGGTTGCTTCTCTCCTTGATTAGTTTCCATCCGTTGCTTCTTGTCCTGCCTTCAGGTGCTTTGGAAAATAAGTTGACCCCCTCTTCTTTATGGCAGTCCCTCAAATACTGGAAGACTGCTATGATGTTACCCTTAGTCTTCTTTTCACTAGGCTAGACATACCAATTCCTGCAACCATTCTTCATAAGTTTTTGTCACAGAAGAACCCCAAAGGTCTTCATACCTTTCTATTAAAACAGGTGGCAACCTCTAGCCAACCAGATCTAAAGAAGCTAAGTAAAGTCACCTCAATTTAATTCTTGGGTCGCAGACTACCTGGAGCTTGTTTTATCAGGAGCCAAGCTCAACTCAACTGACAGTTTATCATTGACATCACCTTGATATCTTTCTATGGAAATTCTACAAGGATTCAACATGAGATTCATGGAAGCCTCTGCAGAATCTCTTGCAAGTGCCTCCAGCATCATTCACTGGCCTCAAATTAGCAAAGTGTTTCACCCAACTGTGACTTTCCATCTTCACCTTGAAAGGGGAAATAATTGAGTGTCAAGTCAAATGAGAAGAGGATAATTTTGACTTTCTCCTGTAACTTTTTTGTATACTGAAGCCAAAGACAATGCATCTTGCATTTGCGACAATGAATATTATCATGCTATTATTTTGTGTAACCACTCCATCATCTGAAGAACTTGAAACAGACCCACAGATGCATCTTATAAAAAAAGCTTATCCCATAACAAATATTTTGGTCTATTGGTGCCAGATATAAAATGTGCAGCTTTTACCATTTTTAAAAAACAAAATTATACAGAACTATCATGAAACCCTCCAGGTCACAAAGGAAAACAGCTAATAATACAGGGTAGAAGAGATACATTGGTGTATGCATGTGTGTGTGTGTGTTTTCTTTCTGCTGGCCAAAACAACAACAACAAAATTTTGGCTTCATAATACTGTTTGGTCCAGACGTTTAAATTTGCATGCTTGTTTTCTCCTTGGGGGAAAAAAAGTGAAGATGTGTGTACATTGCTTTAAACATTCTCAGAAAAAACAATCCGTTTCTGCTTTTCCATAAATAAATCCATTCAAGCTTTGCTTCTCTGCCATACGGTGTCACTGTTGCATATCAGCATTAAAAAAATTCCTCTGAAAGGGGGGATGTAATCATGATTAAGATTTTTAAACAAAAAGGGTGGGAAAGAAATTAAAAAGCAACTGAGAAAGTTTTTACAAGTTTTTTTGCTAATGGTCCATTGGTGTTCTCCCTCCCTCTCTCTCCCTCTCTCTCTCCCTCCCTCCTAGTGGCCTTGTGCATCATTTTCTTCAAAAATGGGAGTATATCAGTTCCAGAACATAAATAAATGACATCAGATAAGGCATAATCAAAGATAGGATATATCAAAGAAACTGCTTTGTTTCTAAACAGAAAACCTGTCTAATCCTAAAGCCAATCAGCTGATTTTCGATTCTGAAAAACTCAATGTCTTTGCTTGTGGCGAGCACTTGATTTTTTCCCACCCTTCCACCCCTGATAGGATACCAAATTTCCCTGTGAATTTAACAGCAGTACAGATGTGGGAAGAAGCAAAGGTTATTTCGATTAAAAAACCTTTACATAAACAGAGGAATGCTATCTAACACCAACACGTCTCCTCCTTTCTTTTCTTCCTCTAGTTCCTTTTCTTTAAAAAAAAACTTTTCCTATTAGTTCATATTCCAAGAAAGGATGGAGAAAATTGTAAGAGAATATTTCAGAGCCTGATGTTTTGAATTTGGAGACAAATGCAGAAATTGGACAAAAGAGTTGTAAACGAACATGTACAAAGCACACACACAGGTAAGTTATGAATTCACCCATAAGTAGTTGGTGGAAATTTTATTTTCTGCTTCCATTGCCTTCCTAATTTTCTGAGCATTTTGGAAACACCTCCCATTAAATTTATGGCACACATCCTTTGCAAGCTCTCTCTCCTTTCTTAATGCAATTTCCTATTGTCCATGATGCATCTTGAACTGTAATTGGAATGGAAGGATGAAC